ATCTTCTCATCTTTCACGATATCAGGGAAGTTTTCTGCCAATAAATCTTCAACAATTCTTTCTGTATTTTCTGTTATCCGCCCCCCCACCCCTTGTTCTGGTACTCCACTCACTGTAGGTTATTCCTCTTGATAGATTCCCACATAATTCTTAGGGATTCTTCATTTTTTTTAATCCTTTTATCTGATTTTTCCTCAAATAAGTTGGTGTCAAGTGCTTTATCTTTAGTCTCACTAATTGTGACTTCCATTGCCTCAGTTCTACTTCTGTGACTTTCTATTGAGTTGTCTAATTCTGAAATTTTATTGTTAATCTTCTGGATTTCTGATTGCTGTGTCTCTATGGATTCTTGCAGCCTGTTAAATTTGTCATTATGCTCCTCTCTAATCTTTTTAATTTCCTCTGTTGCGTGTTCTGCGTTTTGCTTAATTTCCTTCCTAATTTCTTGAAGAGTTCTGTATATTAATCTTTTGTATTCTGCCTCCAGTAATTCCAAGAAATTTTCCTCCTCTAGAAAATTTCTAGATTCTTTATTTTGGGAGCTTGCTGAAGCCATCATGGATTGCCTCTTTATGTGATTTGTTATTGACTGTTGTCTCGGAGCATCAATAAGTTACTCTGTTTATTTATTTTGTGTTTGTTTACTGTGTCCTAGCTTCTTGTTTTGTTTTGATATGCTGGTTTTATGAGCTAGTTTGATCATTGGCACCTCTGATGCTCTAATGTCCTGTCACCAGGTGGTTAGATCTTTTACTAGGTATGTGAGCTCAGGAGTCCACCCACTCCTCTGTGGATTCAGCTCTGGTGCCGAGGTAGGTACCCACCATGTGTGTGGTGTAGGCTCTCACCTACAGTCCTAGACAGGCATGGGTGATTGGTGTAGGCACAGGCATCTGGCTGCAGCAGGGCGACACCCTCTGAGCAAGGCAGGGGGCTGACGGCCATCCCCGAGTGTCCAGGAGGAAGGTATGTCCCTGTTCCCTAGAGCGGGTGGGTGGGTAGGTTTTGCAGCCGGATTGTGAGCACCTAATGCTGTTGGCTGTAAGGACTGGGGGGCACCTCTTATTCATTGGCCCCTCTGTCAGGTGGCTAGGTGGCATGGGTGGAGTCACCAGTCCTCACGCCCCTGATGTGGGTAGGTAAAGACCCTGCTTAATGGGCAGAGCAGTGTCAAATGTCAAGAACCTGCCACTTCACAGCTGAAACAGTTGAAGTTAGAGTTCTGGTATATACCCTGCTGTACTGCGGTAATGAGGGCCTATGCTGCTGAAATGGGCCCACACAAGTCTCTGCAGGGGGAAAGGCACTCACAGTCTGTGGATCCCTTATGCCTGTGCCCAGGCAAAGGACCTGTGCCTACCCTGGGTTCCTGGCTTAGGGGAGCCTGCAGTTTAGTTTTGCCCCTGTTTGTTAATTTGTGAACTCTCCAAGGCTGGGAGAATGGCTCTGGGCATGTTATGGATCCTACTTCCAGCTCAGGGGACTCAGCAATTGCTGAAGCCGGTCCAGGACCCAGTGCAGAGCAGAGAGTGGGGAGGTAAATGGGAGAGAGGTTTCTCCCTACGGGGGGTGTTATTGATCTGCCGTATGCAATTACTTATCTTTTGCAGATCCAGGTCTGCTTCTCACTGGTTCTGGTTGGCCATGTAGAGTTTCTTGTGCTGGGTTTCTCCTGGTGTGGAAAACACGCCTCCCGAGCACGGCTACTTGCCTGCCTCACCGCTCACCCCCAAGCTTATCAGACCTGAAGGGCTCAGGCTCTTGCGGGGTCAGGTCTGGCAACTCCTCACTGCTTCCGAACCGTCTCTCCCTCCCCTGCCACTCAGTCTGGTTCCTCAACTTTGCGTTTGATGTTCAGGGCTCCCAGATAACCATATATAATCAATTCACTTGTTTTTTTGGGTCTTTGTTGTAAGAGGGTCCACCGGAAGTGTCTGACTACTCTGCCATCTTGGCCCCGCCTCTGGGGGATTTCTTAACCTTGACTAATATCCAGGGTCACAGGGCTCAGTGAACTTAGCATTGTCAGAGGGGAGGTGAGTTTCATTAGGGAACCTCTGTGATCTCATGCACAGGGATCATGGTACGCAAGGGTGAGCTCCGCAGAGCCTTCCCTCCTTCCAGTGGCCCTTCTAGGAATCAGATCCACAGCTGTGGTGTCCACTGAGTTCATGTGGCAGGAATTCTTGTACAGAGGGGGGAACACTCATTTCCTTTCTGCTTCTTTAATGACTTACTTTGTAGGGAAAAAAAAATCTTAAATTTCTGTATAAGACCTATTTAATAATTATGTTTGAGTCTTAATACTCATTTGTAAAAATATAAATTCTAGTAAATCACGTTGTGGTTAGCTGCTGTTGAGTCAGTTCCAACTCATAGCAACCCCATGTGACAGAGTAGGACTGCCCCATAGGGTTGTCTTGGCTGTAATCTTTACAGGACGAGATTGCCAGGTCTTTCTCCCGTGGAGCCACTGGGTAGGTTCACATGGGTGTGTATACTTTAGTGGTAATTTTATATGTAATCTCACTATCAGCTGTAACAAATTGGAAATGTTTTCTTCTTTGAAGTAATGCCGTTGTCAGCTGAGTGGCTGACAAGGATTTGGTTGCCCTGGAGTTTGGGTGTGTTTGCTTTGTCAGCACAGGAGAAAAGACCCCGAGAGAGCAGACACTTTGGTTCCTGCCCTGGCTAGACATGCTCAGAAAGGGCCACTCTCAGCCCCTGAGGTCCACAGCATCACCCAGGGTCCTGACTGTTACTGTTGGTATTTTTACCCAGCGTAAGGCTCTGAGGACAGGCTTCTTAAGGAATAAGGCCTAGGAAAGGGTCTTCAGAAAGGGCTCCCAAGTGGGGCGAGGTGTCACCTTCAGAAGTAAAGGAACAAAAGAAGTTCAAGGAGGCTGTCAGTCTTAGAATGTTGTTAGGACTGGCAGTGGTAGGTGTTTCGGGACTTCATGTGAACGGTCGGAGGTTTGAGTCCACCCAGAGGTGCCGTGGAGGAAAGACCTAGTGATCTACTTCAGAAAAGTCAGCTATTGAAAACCCTGTGGAGCACCAGTCTACTCTGACACACATGGGCTGCCGTGAGTCAGAGTGGATGCCACAGCAGCTGTTCTGTGGTTGTTTTTAAGTTGTGGTCACCCTCAGTCAGCTTCTTGATACCAAAGGGCCTATGGGCTCATCTTCAGGGATCAAAAAAGCATAGCCTTTGCCAGATTTGGGGGCAGAGGAACCAGCGATGCATCCCGGGATGGGGGCTGCTGGGGGACACGGAGGATGGCTTTCAGCCCTGGATTCATAAGAACTCTGATCGGTAATATCTTTAGAGAATACATACTCAGTATTCACAGGCACATTCAGTCAGAAAATAAGTGTGGGTTCTTCAGTGACTTAAAAGATGGGGTAAGTGAGTGATGCTACTTGATTTTAGCAGGCAGCTCGATGAGAAATAACTTCTTGGGTAGAGTTGGATTGACAATGTTATCAGTCTCTGTTGGGGAGCAGGAACAGCACGGTCCCTGAACACTGCAGTTGAGCTGCTCATCTTGGCTCTCTCCAGCTGGTGGGTTTGCAGTGGGGGAAGCCGGCCCTTGTGGCAGTGTTGTGCCTGTTCAGGTGGCTGAGCGATTTCAGCCATTCTGTAGCTGGGAGGGTGAGGATGAGTGCAGCCTCGGGGTGAGGCTTAGCAAGAGTGGGTGGCAGGCCTTCGCCAGGGGAATTGTGGACCAGGTGGGCCTCCACCTTCTTCCAGGAGCAGACCCAAGGCCATCTGAGGGGGCCTGGGGAAGGTGGGGAGGCCCTGGGTTCTTCCTCTTGGTAACAGCCACATTAGAACAGTGCTCTGAGTCAGTTATCCAGAGGGAGCCCCCAGAGCCTCCCCACGATCCCCAGGCTACCTCTCTTACGGGGGAAGGAGGCATTTCATATGCATACTTCCGGGTCTGTGAGGGCATGGAAACTCTGGAGTCATCTTGATGAGGCCCAGGCAGTGTCTCGCAGAGGCCGCAGTAGGAAGTTCGGGGGCCCTCTAGCGGTTGTCTGGCATCCGAAGCTCCAGGTTCTGCTGGCAGCGGAATTCAGCTTCTCTCTGTGTCCCCGGTTCAACCTCCTTGAGCTTCTATGTAACTCGACTTGTTCATGACCCCTCAGAGGCCCTGCCCTATCTCAGGACCTCTTGCTATATGTTCTTTCAAATTTAAGTGCTCTTGCTAATTACGCGATTCTCTAAATTTTCTCGATTGTTCTTTTTCATTCAGAATCCCAAGCCTAGACATCTTGGGAGTGTCTGTGCCTAGTCCTCTCCTAGGCCCCTGCTTGATCCGTGGCTCAGCAGTCCTGTAGTCAGTTGGTCTGCCCTCTGTGCTGAGAGCTCTGACAGGGTAGCGAGGCTCCGGGGAGCAGAGCATGGCTGCTGCAAGGCCCTGGGGAGCAGAGCATGGCCGCTGCAAGGCCATGAGGTGGGAGAGAAGCTTTCGGGTCCTGCTAGCCTGGTCAGGATTGTCTTGGGAACTAGTACGAGTATGCTGGGGAACCACAGTACTCGCTTTCTGACTTATCTACGAACTCATTAATTGTAGGTGCTGTAGGAAGTGAACCTAGTTACTGGGTGTTCCGCTGTTGCAAAGATTCCTTGGCCTAGGTTCTTATAGCCGTACTTCCCCATGCAGAAGACGAAAAGGGTGGTGTTTGCTTTGTTTTGTCTGGACTTGTAGGGACCGAATACTCAGCAGATGCATGTTACTCATGAAGTATTAAGAAGTAGTAGATGTTCTGGGCTTCCTCCCAACACTGACTGGAACTGTCGTTGCAGGCTGGGAGTCCCCCGTCGACGGCGTCTGCCTTCTCCCGCCCCTCTGCTACACCATCCAATCAGGACATCTGCAGGTAACCTCCGCTTCAGGGGCTGTTGTGACTGTGCATCCAGAAATAAGCACTGGCATCTGGGGACTCTCTGGTTTTCCATTTGCTTGATCAACACGCCTTTGATCTGAAGTGTTGGCCCCAGTTGTATGTGCTGTTTGCTCACCAAGTTACCACGCTAGTCTCACTTCTCCACTTTGATGTCTGTTCTCTCTAAAATTGTTCTCACTTCCTGTGCTTTATCCCACTGTTCTGCATGCAGTTCCAGTGCAGTGCTTTCTGAGTGTTGTCACCACAGTCCCGTGCAGTCTGCTGTTGTCTTGAAAGCGCCTCCCTGCCAGAGTTCCCTGACTCCAGGGCTCACTGTGACAGTTATCTGTAAAGACACATCACAGGCATCCAGGAGACACCTCTGTGGTTCAGAATGGGCCCAGGCCTTGAGGCCTGCTAGGGATACCAAAGCCGGAAGAACACTGAAGTTCTCAAAATCCCTAAATGATATGGGCGAGAAGGCCCAGGACACCATGGGAAGTTTTGACTATGTGGAAAGGACTTGTTCTGAAGGGAAGTTGCTCTTCTCTCAAGAGCCGTGTCTCAGGATTAGTAGGTTCCATCACAGAGAAAAGAGAACGCTGCATCAAAAACCTCTCGGCAATTCCAGATATTCTTGTGTTTCATCCCTTTCTGCCAATCATTCACCTGCTTCAGAGGCGGAAGCTGGCAAGGGGAGCATCCGCGTCCCGCTTTTGGAAGAGAAAGCAGATGGTGAGGCCCTGTCCAGGAGCAGACGACTGCTGCGGTACCTCTTCCCGCTCGGCCCGAGTGCCAGCAGCCTGCACAGGCTCCGCGAGCTGGAGGGCTGCGCTGCCCGCCGGCACACGGCCAAGTCCTCCAGCGGGCTGGCGGCGAGCGCGGGCTTCTGTTCCGATGACGTGGGGGATGACGACGTCTTTGAGGACAGTGTGTCCGCAGAGCTGAAGAGCCGGGACCTGCGGGCACCCCTCTGCTCAGTGGAGAAGGACAGCGACCTGGACTGCCCTTCTCCCCTCTCAGAACGGCGTCCCCCCATATCTCCTGGGTCCACATCAGGGGATGCCTGCAGGTTGGTGTGCCAAGAACCACCGTTGGGCCATCTCTGCTTCCCGCACCTCCCTAGTCTCATCTTGCTTTAATATGTGAAGTTTCAGGAAAGCGAAGCAATGGGCAATTGTGGGTAGTTTCCTCCAGGAGACGGGAGTTTTGGTATAATCTGAAAAGCCGGTTTTTATGACATGGGTTCCAGGATAGTTTCACTGATGATAAAAGAGGAAGAAGCTACACATATTAAAGGCCAAGCTGACGCTTCTCCACTAAAAATAGGTGGGCTTTGCATAAAGAAATTGGAAGAAAGAAAATAGTGTCTCCAGCTTTCCAGCTTGATTGTCCAGACATTAAGCGTTTTCATTTTGCCATCCCTCCCAGCCTCGTTTTACCTGTGTTCCCTGTGATGGGGCAGGTGTGTGGAGCAGGCGTGAGTGCAGCCCCCTCGGCCCGAGTCTTAGCGTCACTGTCCTTCCTCATCTTCCCAAATCCTCCAGAATCCATTCTCTGTCACCACTCCTCTGCCATTCTTTCTGACCTTTCCTCAGTGACCCTCCTCAGCTCCAGCTGTTACTGTTTCTCATGATTGGATCGGAAACCCCTCAGAGACAAGCTGCCGGAGAGCCGGGCCGGCTTCTCTCAGGACTAGTGTCCCTACCTGTTTTCAGCTTCCAGAAAATACCCTTCTGTTTCTCAAAAGCCTGTTCAATTCCTTGAGGTTAGTTGTGACATCCTGCTGCACGCGCCCTTGGAAATAACGGTTTTAAATTAATTTCCACTTACTGCTATGGAAAAAAGGTGAAATCCCAGCAGCTTGTAATGTGAGTTGTTTAGGTCCAGCAGAGATGCTGTGGTTTCTTTGTCTCCTCCTGGGCAAGAACAGAGATGCTAGTTGTGCTGTGTGTGAGGGTGGGGTCAGCGATTACAGCTGACAGTCACGTCTCATCGTCTTCTTAAGTCACTGTGGTACTGTTGGGAGGTTTTGTTTTACGTTGAAATTTTTCCTCTAGTTGTTTTAACATCTTAAACGTTTTGGAAAATACTTCCATGTTGCCTTAAATTCATCTTTCAACAAAGTTCTTAGGTCTTACCAACAATGACTGCTTTGTCACTTCTTATACCATGTTTTCCTCTCCATTGCCAAGTGCCATCCAGACTTTCCATGTTGGTGCGGTAAGCTAGAAGTGCTTAGTTCGTAGCATTTGTTCTCATTTGTGTTTGTGTGTTTTTGTGCTTGTAGTCACTTACGTGGTGTGTTTCTGAAAATTTCCTCTGGGGCGATAGGCTTTCCACTGACTCGTCATCTTCCCCATAGTGGTGTTCTCCTTGTAACAACCGGTTTCCCCCCAACACAGGATCTGCCACTGTGAGGGTGATGACGACAGCCCCCTGATCACCCCGTGCCACTGCACCGGGAGCCTGCACTTCGTGCACCAGGCCTGCCTGCAGCAGTGGATCAAGAGCTCTGACACGCGGTGCTGTGAGCTGTGCAAGTATGAGTTTGTCATGGAGACCAGGCTGAAGCCTCTGCGGAAAGTACGTGGGAAGACCCTCCCTGATGTGACTGTCCCTGGGAGAGTTAGGGTCTGGGACCCGGGGAGACCCTAATACTGCTTTCTTTTAGAAGTAGGGACGGGTGTGTCCACTCTGTTGTCAAGGTCGTTGCTCTCTGCTGTGCTGAGTTCCAGGTCCCCCTCAGGAAGAAGCTCTTTCTAGCCGTTCAGTCGTGGAGTTTTCTTTTTCCGGTACACTAGACTGCTGGGTTGTCTGTCAGTCGTTTGTCCTTGACCCCAGAATGTTTTGTGACGTCTTAGTTAGCATTTAACTTTATGTGTATTAACTGTTGATCGTATGGTCCCTCTCCATTTGGGACCATATACTGGAGATCCCCAGCACTTAGCACAGTGAAGCACGTGGGAAACTTATGGTATATACCTGTGATTTGTATTTGTAGGATGGGAGGGTGGGACCGGGAACAGAAAGAAACCACAGACGTGACGTGCAACCCAGCCCTCGTCGAGAGCAGCTTTGTCAGTGGTGCTCACCTGCTGTCTAAATACTATCTCTTCAGTAGCTTCCTCTGTGCACCTAGCATGTGAGGTTCTGTGTGGAGAGTAGAGAACGTGTTCCCGTCTCAAGAGCTTAATATGTGAATTGCAGGGTGAATCACAGAGTCAGGTAACAGTACAGGGCTAAGTGGTGTGGTGGTGGAGCACGTCAGACGTTCAGAGTAGGGAGTGGTCCCGGCGCGCTAGAGTGCCGGGACGTGGAGTGGTGTAGCGGCGTAGAATGTTGGGGTTTTGAAGCAGTTCTTGAAAGATCAGTGGGATTTAGAGCCAAAGCAAAGGGACTTTAGAGAGGTCAAGTTGTCTTTGGAGAAAAGCATATGCCAAAAAGAGGTGAGTGAGGATCTTGGGGGAGTGTGAAAGGACTGAACTGAGTGTGTCTTAGGAAAACAGCGGGAGGTGAGGGAGCCGGGGAGACTGAGGCATGGACTGCATTTTAGGCAGGAAAGCAAATGAAGATGTTGTAAAATCATCATAGGAAGCACTCTGGCTGCTAAGAAGGCAGGCACAAACTACGTAGAAATGTTTTGCCCAATAAAAGCCTTATAATTTATTGAGTACCTACTCTATGCTAATCTCTCAAGCGAGCCCTGTGGCCTTCGACCAGTGTAGATAATCCACGAGGCTCTATTTTCAGTTTATCCTGCAGAGAACCCATCTGGAAAGAGGCCGTGACTAGGGTTGGCAAAGGAAATGTGGAGTGTTTACACTTTGTTCTTTCTCTCTACCTTTATGTGTTTCTTCTGATTCGGAAACCAGTAAATGAAAAAGAAACTCTGGCTATTTGGAGTAAGTTAATGAGCTCCTAGAGGAGGTGAGACTGGCAGAGGCTGCTTGTACCAGGAGCTCTTAGCATCGCTTCCAAGCTGTTGCTGCCCATAGCAGAGGACTGAAGAGTGAGCTCCTTGTGCCGTTCACTTTCCAAGTGGAGTGTCACCATCGCTGGTGTGCTGTGGCTTCATCACCCTCCGCTTCCCCTTACCATGCCAGTCAGCACGTCACAGTGACTTAGTGTGGCCGCTGGGTCTGGGGCCAAGTGTTTATTATCAGGCCTTTGATTTCTCATTGCAAGAGTAAGCAGAAGGGGGATTGCTGGTGATAGTTCATGGCTCATCAACCCCAGCTTCTTTTCATTGCATAGAAGGTTGGCTGCCAGCAGAATGCCAGTGCTTGGCACCTGGGTGAAGCCAAGTGGTTTAAAGAGAATGACTTTGGGTGTTTGGGGAGATTCATCTAGCTTGGAAGAGGGGAGGAGGGGAGGAAGGCAGTCTTACCATCTGCAGAGCTCTCCCCACGTCTTAGCCCCTGTCTGCAGGGAGCCCGAGCCTCACACTGTGCTCTGTTGTCTTCCCAGTGGGAGAAGCTCCAGATGAGCAGCAGCGAGCGCAGGAAGATCATGTGCTCAGTCACCTTTCACGTGATTGCCATCACTTGTGTGGTCTGGTCCTTATACGTGCTCATTGACCGTACTGCCGAGGAGATCAAGCAGGGGCAGGCAACAGGTACGTGTCTGGATGGACATGAGCTCGGCCCAGAGTCTGGGTCACGTCCTGGGACCGTGAGGGTGGAGCTTCATTCCCCATGGCTTTGCAGGTCAGACCTTCAGTGTCTGCATTTCTGAAGGGGACGTCATTAGGAGGCACCAGGTGCCCCTCTTGGATATTTCTCTTGCTGTGGTGGTAGTTTTCGAAACCCAGTCAGATCAACAGCCAGAGCGTCAGGAGTCTCCAGAACCACCTCCTGGAAGAGTGGAAGGGGAGCGGATGCTGTCTTCCACCCCTCCTTTGCCGCAGCAAGATTTGATGAGTTAAGAATCCACCGGTTACGGGAAATTTAGAAGGTTTAGCTTATTTACTTCAGGTCTTAAACAAGATCTGCTGCTGATAGGCTGACCAGGTTTTTTCTTTTCTAGGAGCCCTTGAGTGGCCCTTTTGGACTAAATTGGTGGTTGTGGCTATCGGCTTCACTGGAGGACTTCTTTTTATGTATGTTCAGTGCAAAGTATATGTACAATTGTGGAAGAGACTCAAGGCTTATAATAGAGTAATCTATGTTCAGAACTGTCCAGAAACAAGCAAAAAGAATATTTTTGAAAAGTCTGCACTAACAGAGCCCAACTTTGAAAACAGAGATGGCCCTGGGGCCTGTCATTCCGACACAAACTCTTCCTGTTGCACAGAACCTGAGGACACTGGGGCAACCATTGTCGAAGTGTGACTGTCTGGACGTCACCAGGAGCTGAAGGAGATTGTTTACTGCCAGCTGTGTACCTTTTCTTATGTCCTTTACTAGCGTAGAATGGGCAGGTGGCTATTTTTAATGGCTTCTCTTTTTCTAAATCCTCCTTAATGAACCTTCTGGAAAGCCCTCCTGTTGGCCATCCACCTCTGCCATATGCCTGATGGGCAGGGAACGTGGAAGACCCCATGACATGGGAGGTGGGGCTGGCTGAGTTCCCGGTCGTGTTCTTGGGCCGGTGAGAGAATGAAGGGCCGAGGCTGAGGGAAGAGCAGGAGAAGGGTGGGGCCCAGGCCCTGGGGAGCAGCCCCTTCCAGTCAGCGGCTATCCCTGCATGAGGCTTTAGGAATGTCTGCCCAGGATGGGAGGATTTCTGTACTCAGTAAGGAGAGCCCAGAAGATGGGGTAGAGACAGCCCCCCAAACACAGACCGTGGCCTCCCTGCCCCTGCAGATGCTGCTCCTGCCGTTTCTCCCAAGCAGACAGGGGAGCAGGTGCTCCATGGGGAGGCGAGCGAGCCACTGAGCAAACAGCACTTTACAAAAGAAAGCCTTTATTTTGTAATACGTGTCCAGTGGGATTGAAACTTAAAAGAATGTCTCATTTAGAAATGTTCCCTTTGTTAGACCGTACTATCTCTTTTGCATTATAGTGTGAAAAACCCTTTCTGCCTTATGAATTCTAACATACATGACATCCCTCAGTGCACATAAAACAAACGTGTGATTATAATCTACAGATGAGCCTGAGACTTTTTCTTACCAGGCTTCGTGGGAATGATGGATGTCACGTGGCAATTGGAGCATAGTTCCTGTGGTTTTGAACCTGTTTTAGGGAGTTCTTATCTTAGAGGCTTGCCCCGTTTGTTCCTTTTTGTCAGCATTGAAAAAGAGCTTTTTGAGATCTAAATGGAAGGAAAGGAAGTGAATAATTAGAACAAAATTGAGTGTTTTAAAAATACTCCTTTAGAGAGAGATCGTGCCAGCGTGTGCCAGATTCCCACGAAAGAGTAAGAGTGCCCGTCCTGATCTGTGTACCTGCCTGCCCGCCTTGGCCAGCTTCTGCAGGTGTGCCTGGCAGGGGCTGTGAGGTCACTGCCCACTGCAGAGAAGTGGATGGGCTGCCCTGGCCCCTGGCCACTCCCCAGCCACCCACCCAGCCCTTCACTGCCTTAACCAGACTGAGGAGAGAGGATCCTGTGAGGGCCCCAGCCGGCTATGGGTCTGTTCTGTCGTCAGGGTTTACAAACACAGATCGCTACCATCAAATGGCCTTTGTTCCTTAAAAAAGGCTGCTTAAACTTCTGTTTTTGGAAGCTCAGTTTTGCAGTACAGGCAGCGGTAGCTCCAAGGCAGCAGAGCTTGTGGCTGACGTCGGACACGAGCTGGCCCACGTGGGCGAGGTGCCTGGGGTCCCGCCTGCAACCTCACTGAGCCACAGGCACCTGCTCATCTTAACAGAACAGGATGGCTCATTTGCTTTTCAGATTTGGAGTCGTTTTGAAGGCCAGGAGGGGGCCAAGGGGTCTCTCAGCTCCCAGCGAGGGCATGTGATGGCAGGCTGGCACCACTGCATCTTCCCACCCTGGTGTCTGCTACAGTGGGACCCTGGCTCCGCCCAGTCTGTGGAGGTTCCCTGCGGTGGCCTCCCTGTGGCCAGGCAGGCACTGTCCAGCTGTCACAGGCTGACCCCTGGAAATGGGTCATCTGCCCTCTCTGTCTCCCAGGTCATATCCAGCCCATGCCTGTGTTCACTGTGCCCCAAATTGCAGTTACCTGTGCCCCTCTTCAGCCCAGTGATGCCAGGCAGTTGCAGGCTGTCCACTCAGGTGAGTGGAATCCCACATCTGTCCTGCCCAGGCCCCTTAGGAACTGCCCAGGCACGGCCCTGCTTCTGCACATTGTCCCTGTCTCGCTCCAGCAGCAAGGGAGCAGTCAGGTGAAGGTCCAGTGTGATTTTTAAGTGTGGCTCTCACCTGCCCACTCCCCGAGAAACCCCTGTGCTGAACTTGGAAAGCACAGAGGCCCCCGTGTGGAGGGAGATGTGCTGAGGTAGGGGTGTCTCCCGGGCTGCCTGCCTTTAGACCGTGACTGTGTTATCTGTCACCCACACCCAGACATCCGTATGCAGAGCCCTCTCCCTTCTTTCCAGGAAGGCCGAACACCATCCCCTCACTGCAGGCCTCGCTCCGCCAGTCCCCTGCCTACAGGCAGTGCCGCCCATGTCGTTTCCTCTGCTGAGATGACGCACCAGCTGCTGCCTTTCTCTTTTTTGCAGGCTGCGTTTGAGTTCTGACCTGTCAGTCCCGCCCCACCCCGGCTCTCGTTTTACCCGCCAAAGTGACGTCCCCAGGCCTTGCATGTTGTGCGGCACTGCTGTCTGGTCATAGCAGCAGGCCTGCCGGGCCTTCCTCTGGTCCCTGTTCCCCAGATCCCCCTCTTCTTGCGCCTGGCCTTAGTGGGAGGATGGCTATGCACCATGTGCACATCCCAGATGGCAGCTGGCTGGACCTTCTAGAACCTGGGTCAGCCTGCAGGTCTCAGGGCCCGGAGGACTGGTGCTTGTGGGCCCAGCAGGGCGAGAGGGAAGCTGCCTCTTCCCGATTTGGCCTGTGCTCCCCGAGAAGTCACGGTAGAACTAGGGTGCTTCTGATTTCGTTTGGAGCAGTCGTTTGGTTTATGCGTTCAGATTTAATGCTAGACATTCCTGGGAACCCCGTGAAAGAGCTTTTCCCACTGCAGGCCTTTACCGAGTCTTCTTTTTTGCTCTGGCTCGCTCCTCTCAATCTAGTTTGGCCTTCTTTCCAAACCTGCCAGCGCACCTACCTCACCAGAGATGGACGGGCCCCAGGCAGCTGAGCCCGTTCAAGAGCCTCATGGGATCTTTGCAAGTCTGGGAGCTGCGTCTTCTCCCTTGTGGGCAGGCTGCAGGAGCTGTGGCCGGGGCCACTGGGGAGTGTGGTCTGGTTCAGGAGAGAAGGAACCACAACGTTGTCGATGCAAATACACGTTTGAAATACTTTCCCTTTTGAATTTAGTTTGAAATACGCAGCTTCTGCCTCTAGCCCAAGGAAAGACTGAAACACAGGGAAATGGAAGTCCTTATCTTCATTTTGGAAGTCATTGTTCAAGCTGTGCAGCTGATCACCTATTTAGATGCAATGTTTATAGAAAGTTGATTGTTAATAAAAACCAAATTTACACTGGCTTATGTGGTGTAGTTTCTAAAAAGCACTTCACATTTGTAATTTTTCTTAGAACGTTTCCAGTTATCTGAATGTCTAGTTTTCTATCCTTTTGTGTATGCTCACTCTTTCTCAGTATTACCACTTGAAAATTCTTTGTACAGATGGTTGGTTGTGCTATACATGGGGATGTCTAATTGCAGCAATAAAGCATTTCTTTAAAAAGGAGTTTTGCATGGGACTGTTTTCCTGCAAGGACCCTGGGCATGGTGGTGGGTACTCCAGTGGCTTTGACCTCTGCAGGTTCTCTGGCTTCACATCTGGAAAGCAAATAATGCAACCTCTAGAGGTGTCTCCTTACCCCTGGCTGCCCCTGCCAGGGAGGAAGGCTAGCCCCATGCTGGGTGGTGGGAGGCCTGGAAGGTGTGAAAACAGGTGTTCCACACAGGTGTGTTTGTTTCAACCACTTGGTCTCGCCTTGCGCTCTGGTGGGTACACTGAATTACTTAATATGGTTTTTCTAGACATGGTCTTTGTGACTCGCTCACAGTGATTGGGGGGGACTATGCAAATAAGGTGTTTGAAACCTCTGATCTTTGGGGTTGTGTGTCAACTTGGCTAGGCCATGATTCCCGGTATTGTATGGTTGTCCTCCATTTTGTGATCTGATGTAATTATCCCCCATTCTGTAATGTGAATCCTAGCCTCTATGCCTGTGGTTGTGTTAATGAGGCAGGATTAGGGATGTATCTTGAATCACCACCTTACTAGAGGGAGTGACTCAAGTCACTGCCTTCTCAAATGGGAGTAGTTTTCTTGAGGGTGTAGTCTGCATTAAATGTATATGAATGTTCTGAGGAAGTTTGCTCTCTCTCACTTTGGATCCCACATCTGGTTCCTGATCATCTGACTTCTGGTTCTTGGACCTTGAGCCAGCAGCCAGTGTGGCCTGCCGATTCTGGGATTTACCAGCTCCCACAGCCCCTTGAGCCAGCAGCCTGTTGTCTGACCTGATTTTACCAGCTCCCACAGCCCCTTGAGGCAGCAGCCTGTCGTCTGACCTGATTTCACCAGCTTCCACAGCCTTGTGAGCCATCAGCCTGTCGTCTGACCTGATTTCACCAGCTTCCACAGCCTTGTGAGCCATCAGCCTGTCGTCTGACCTGATTTCACCAGCTTCCACAGCCTTGTGAGCCATCAGCCTGTCGTCTGACCTGATTTCACCAGCTTCCACAGCCTTGTGAGCCATCAGCCTGTCGTCTGACCTGATTTCACCAGCTTCCACAGCCTTGTGAGCCATCAGCCTGTCGTCTGACCTGATTTCACCAGCTTCCACAGCCTTGTGAGCCATCAGCCTGTCGTCTGACCTGATTTCACCAGCTTCCACAGCATTGTGAGCCATCAGCCTGTTGTCTCAGGTGCTGGTTCGGGTTCATCAGCCCCCGCAGCCCTGTGGGCTGGGAGGAGCCTCCAGCCTGACGCCTGACCCACAGATTTGGGACTTGCCAGCCTCCACAACCACGTGAGCCATTTTCCTGAGATACTTTTCGTGAGTTCTGTGAGACATTGCAGCAAATTACTGAACCCAAAGATGGGAGGGAAAGTACTGCGGGGGCGGAGGAGTTGTTGATGTTAGAGATGACGGACTGGGACATTAGTTTGGAAAAGTTGGACATTTGGGACATCTTTAACTGCCGCCTCACAGGAACCGACTTTGTGCTGATCCTCATAAATTATTTGTTCAGTGCTCCCCAGCCGCAGAGGAGCCAGACTACAGGTCAGTGTGTGTCAGGCAGCATGACTGTTGGGCCTTCCCGGTAAGGGAGCACAGTAGCTGTCGACAGCTTTGCCCGACTGTGTCTCTGGGCTGCTTGCTGATGGCTGCCCTGAGTAGGGCAGTGCCCTGCTACTCGTGTCTGTATGCTCGGCATAGGTCAGATGGGGTGAAGAGGGGGGCAAGCATTGCCCGGTTAATCGTACGCGGGGTGAGCTGGGAGAGTTCTTCCCGCAGTTATGGCAGTGGGCTGCTGGGATACGGCAGCTAAGCTCCAGCAGGTGTTGCCAAGTGCCTCTTTGTCTAATACCTTCGGAGCCATGGCCATGGCAGAGACTCCTCTGGCCACCGCTGCACTGACGAGCTCTCGGGGCCTCTAGCGTGTGATGTGCCCCAGAACTCAGCTAACTGGTTGGAGGGAGTGGTGAGGAGGGTGGGGCTCGAGAAGGAGTGAAAAGGAGGTGCCTGCCTGACAGGGGCCTCTGCACCTTGGGGACCCAGTGAGTTCTGAGTTTGGCTGAAGAGGCACCAAGTGGGGTCTTGCACAGGCAGGCTTGGGGTGATGTTGCCCACAGGCCTTTCTGCCCTTTGGCTCTGGCCACAAAGTGATGGAGGCGTCAGCTGGCCTGCCATGTGACTTGCCCCCAGGGCCTGACAAATGGCTGCTTATGGCAGCACCTCTTCTTGTGAGCAGTTTTTATCGGCACAGTCCATGTCCATTTATTTACACTTTGTGGCTGCTTCCCTGCTACACTGACAGAGCTGAAGAATTGCGATGTCCGTATCTCTCACCCACTGTCAAGAATAGCTGGTCTGCTCTGATCTCTTATAGCCAAGGAAACTGAGGCCCTAGGACTCCGAGTCACTGAAGGGCCGGGAGTAAACCTCAGCCCCCGACTCAATCCGGGCTCTCCTTCCACGCCCACCCACCAATTCCTGGTGTGTCTGGGAAGGAATGCCACCAATTTCCCCCCACCCCTCTGCATTCAGCCCTGGGGAGGCCCAGGCTCTAAGGACTTGGTGGGGATTGCTGGGCTCCTGGCCCTATTTAAGATGGAGAAAGCAAGGGAGGACTTGGCGTTCCGGGAGCAGGGAGACTGGCCTCACCCTGAACAGTGCCACCGTCTGGGCTAGGCTCAGTTCTCCACAGGCCATGCAGCCTCCCGTGGGCTCTGGGTCTTCTGAGCTTCAGTTGCCTCATCTGTGGAATGGGGCTGACCTGACATCCCCTTCAAAGGTAGCTTGGGGGATTGAGGACTGTTCCTTGTTCAGAAGCCCTGAGTGAGGTGGTCCTGCTGGTGTCCTCCGAGTGGGGGTTCCCCAAGTCCCATGGTCATGGCCAAATATCCAAAGTCAACAAGGCCCAGCCTGTGTAGCCAGGGAGTGAAGGGCGTCCACAGAATTTCCAAGGTCTGGGGGTCTGCCGCAGGGGGAGCAGTTACAGGTGGGGGGAGCAGGTGGGGAGGCGGGGCTGCAGCTCCCTGGAAAGTTGTGATGGAGGGTCATCCCCCATCGCCACTCAGGTGGGGGTGAGGGTTCTGTCCAGGTGGAATCATAATGGTGTTTGTCGGTTTTTGTGGAGGGGGGTGTGTGTGAGCAATCTGGGGTGACTGGAACACAGCATGTGGAAAGAAACGTGTTTTAAGTGAACTTTATTTTTATGACAGCCGATTCTTAATTCATCCAACAGGAATTTATTTGGGCGCCTGCTATAAGCATAAACAGAACAGAAAAAAAAATGTTTCTAACATGAACAGGCATCTGTCAGCCTGATGTGCTGTCGCTACCTGGTGTAGACACTGAGCTGGGCACAGGACAGGAAGCCTCACGGGCCTGCTCTGTGCAGGAGGGTTCCCTGGGGTGTGTAAGCACTTTGAACAAAGTCTGAGATTCACAAAAGATAGAGGAGTAAGTGGGGGAAACAGCTTTGCTGCAAGGTGATGCCCCTGGGGAGCCTTTGGTTTACAGCAAATCCGCCTGAGCGCAATTCCCAGGAATCATGGCGGGCCTGAGGGGCAAGCTGCACAGGAGGCCTGCCCTGGAGTCTGGGTACCAAGGCCAGCCTCGAGAAGCGGGACTTTCCAGAGTGAGGCCTGGCACCGCTGGGCCACTCAGATGGCCACGCTGTTGGGAATCCGGTCGGGAGACAAGTAATAATAGGGCAGCTTCTTCTCCTTGTTGCGCTCTGCAATCACGCTGACGATGGTGTCGAGGTTCTTGCGGAATCGGGCCATGGCCTCCTTCACAGGCTTCTCAATGAAATGCTCCTCCGGATACATGCCCAGGAACAGCTGAGACCCCAACAGGGACAGACAGATTAATCTGTGACAAGGCCACAGACTCACAGGCCTTGTGCTCACCTCCAGGGAACATGGCTCAGGGCGCGAGGGAGAGTACATCTCTTCCCCTTCCCATCTCCACCCTCTGCCCCCCACCACGAGTGCCCGGGGACCACGTGCCCCTGGAACCGCTTTCCACAAGGAAGTCTGCAGTGGGCCTCATCTACACCTGGGAACACCAGGGCGTGCGTGGTGGTTACCTCTAGGAGTCAGGGGAAAACCACATGAAAGCTTAGTGGACAGCTGAGCGTGGGTGTGCCCTGTGTCACGCTGGCGCTGACAGCAGTGGAGCTGAGCCCTCTGCTGTCCTGCCTGCCCCTCTGGGCCCCTCCCAGGGCCTTGGAGATCAGGATTCCTGGCCCTGAGTCACACCTGACGTGGAGGGATCAGCTTACACTGGGCAGCAACATGCTCCTGCAGGGTCCCCAGCCCGCTCCCCACCCACCTCGCGCCCCACCAAGGAAGGGCGCGGGCGGCCGCCTCTGCCTGGGCCTCACCTCGTTCTCCTGGAACTGGCTCAGCGCCCACACTGCGCCCAGATGCCAGCAGGAGCGGCCGCGGTCCGGCAGCGTCTCCACAATCTGCTCGATGGTGACCACGCCCTTGGCCGTGGGAGGCGGGGCCCGCATGGTTGAGGGCGCGTTCGGGATCCAGGAGCACCAGTCGTACTGCCGGGACAGCCGCGAACACGCGTGGGCGCCGATGGCTACTGCCCTCTGCGGCCACTTCGTTCGCCCGCCGTCAGAGAGGCACAACTGGCCTCGGCCGCCCTCTGCCCGAAGGGGCTCCCTCCGCCCCACCCTCCCCTCTCCAGCCTTAACCCCGGCCCTTAGCCCGCCGAGTCGTGCTGGGCACCCGAATCCCTCCCCTGAGGCTGCGCGAGGTCCCGCAGCTTTCTCAGCGCCCCCGTCCGGCCAGGACAACTGAGGCCCGGTGGGCCTGGTGGGCCGTCCCCCAGCTCCGCCTCAGGAGCGGGTACAGGTGACCCTGGCAATTTCGGGCCCAGAGGGGTCTGCCCCTTCAGAGGGTCCTCCCCGTCCCTTACCTGGCTGAAGTTCACTGCCGCGTGCTGGGCTGAGGCGGTGAAGATCACCACCGTCAGGTACTCTGACAGCATCTCCCTGGTCTTGATGGAACTGGGGAAGCCTAGGGCGGGAACCAGGGCCGGCTGAGGCCCTCTCCTCCCAGTTGAGGGACGGCTGAGCAGCACATGCCCTGTGCCTGGGCCCCTGGCACAGTGCGGGAGGGCTCAGGAGTGGACAAGAAACGCTGGGGGCGGGCGTGGATGGGAGGGGACAGAGTCCCGGGCCAGCTTTCTGATGATTCTGACCCCGCTCTCAGGGGCTTTCGGAAGCTGTGTCCGCTGGGCAGACCCCATGAGGCATACCGGTGGGCAGAGTACCCCCGGACGCTCAGGCCACAGCACGCAGCAGCAAGGGCGATGCTGAGGGCCAGCATTGCCCAAGGAAAGGTCAGAGGTGCAGGGAAGAGCAGAAGAGAGAGCCAGAGAGTAAGTGGGTGTGGCTCTCACCTGAGGCCTTCCTGCCCCGCAGGCCGTACACATAAACGTCCTTCACGAAATCCTGTAGTTCCTGGTCCTCCTCCACCACCTGGTCACTCTCGTAGTAGATGCCTATCACCTCAGCTGTGAACCTGGCTCAGGGGTGAGGGCCCGGCTGGGAGTGGATGACCCAGCCAGGGTCTCCAGAGTTGTGCCCACAGGGAGCCAGGGCCCATCCCCCATCACTTACTCCTTAAGGTCCAGACTCAGGACCCCACCCCCTCAATCAATGCCTCCATTACTCCATCAGTGCCCTGGTAACGGAGCCAGGCCCCTGCCAGAGTCACTGAGGCACCCGGCCTGCCTCCCCATGCCCATGCCAGCCCCTCCTCCGGGACCACCTCTGCTCTTGTTCCATAGAGCACCCCCTCCCATTCCTGCCCTACTCCTGCCCCCGGCACACACTCACTTCTTAATTGCTTCCCACACCAGCAGCCCGTCGTCCCGGTAGAAGTAGTAGGGAATGTCCTCTGTGCTGTCCATGCCCCGGGCCTTGATGGCCTCGGGGAAGCACAGGGAGATGTAGGTCAGCTCCTGCATGGCCCGATGCACCAACTGCACGTGCCCACCGCCCCCTGTGGCATTGGCCTGGGATGGAGGGAGAGTGCGTCATGAGCTGAGGCTGTCTCCCAGCCCACAGCTCACCCCTGCATCCATGAGAAACTGTACAGGGCAGCGGGGCGGCCAGGAATGCAGGGGGGCAGGCCCTGCAAAGTGGGGCAGGAAGAATGTTTAGCTCAGTGAAGACTCAGGGTGGCCGAGATGCCAAGGCAGCCAGAGGAAGATGCTACAGGGAAGCATCTTTAGACCAGAATGATGGAAGGTGTTGAAATGACCAGATGTTGGCAGAGTAGGGGGCAGTTGCAGGGGAGAGCGAGCTCCCCTCTCGAGGCGTGCAGACTGTGGGATCCCAGCACTGGCTGGGCCTGGCTAGGTGAGGCCCTCAGGCCTATTCTGGTCCCCAGGCACAAAGGTACCCCGAGTCTGCGCTCTGGTCTCACAGGTCTGCTCTTTGGGCTAAAGGAGAGAATAGATGGCAGGCCTCAAGGACCATACACACTGCTGAGGGCCTGCGGTGGTGTGCTCAGGGGAAGCCTGGCGAGATGCACAGTGGGATCTGGGTCCCCCTTCCAGCTGCTAAGACACACACACACACACACGCACACAGTGGGGCTGAGCAGACAGCCCATGGAATTCTCAGGGGACAACTTGGGTGCTGGGGTACCAGAGATTGGTCCATGGTGGCCGTGTGACTCATGCAGGACCAAAGCTGTTACTCGGTATTTTCTGTGTGGTTTTACCCCTGGGAGATGAAGGTCACTAACGGGAACATCTGTGACCAGGTCCCCATCTCCCGAGCCCTGTGGGGAAAGCTGCCTGCGGCTGGAGAGAATGCAGCCATCAGGACTGAAAGAGACAAAGAGCACATGTGCCTTGGGGACAGTATTTGAGTTCCTGGTTCATGCTGATCTGAGGCTCCCTCCACCCGTCATTCCCAAGTACATGAGGCCATCTCCTTTCCAGCTTCAGCTGGTCTCAGTTGGGTTTTGTCGCCTGCATCAAATATATGGCTTAACCATACTGACTTTGTGGCCTGGTCCACTAATTGACGTGGGAGAGGAGGGTCAGGGTTGAGGGCTCATGTGAGGGTCCACGCCTGGTAAGGTGGTAGGGGAGTCAAAACGGGGTGGGGTACTGAGAGAACTTGAGGGGTGAGTAGGGACCTGATTCCCTGCTGAGCAGAGAGTGGTGGGAGCATGGAGGGCCTGGGAAGGGCAGAGGGGGGCGCTGGGTGCAGAGTGAGGGGCAGGTCCAGGGCAGAAGCACATCAGTGGGGCCGAAGGGGAGGGGTCCCATTCATAAGAGCTCAATGGGTCATGAGGAGAGGGAGGGGCTGAAGGTGACTGGGGAGCATGCTGTGTACTTGGGAGAGGAGAGCTCCTTCAGCGCCTGGGTCAAAGGCTTGGGAGACTGGCCGCAGAGCTGGGGGCCACCACTCTGAACACAGCCTCCACCCCTTCACTCTTCCCAGGCCTCCGCCATTGTGAGGACTAGGGACCTGGTCTCCTGGTCATGGATAGAGGCCAACGAGATTCTGAGGAGGAGAGGGTGCCAGCCAGACAGGGCTCTCCAGGGCCCGGGGCAGGGGGCACCTACCTTGTCAAAGAGGCCGTACTCACAAATGAGCTGCTCACGGGCCTTCGTGTTGATGGCGATGGTGAACCGCACGTGGGCCACCAGGAGCTGGTGGGAAGAAGCCCCTCAGAGAGGACCTGGCCAGGGCCTCCTGACCAGAGTACCCCAGGGACCCTCAGCACCCACCCCACCAGGTCCACTGTGGAGAGAAGTCAAGGGTGACAATGCTGACATCGTGACTGAGTAACTAGCTGCTGGAGGCCCGGAGGACACAGTGTTGATGCTTAACAAGAGTAACTGATAATAGCGAACACCTGCATAGTGCTCCACTATGTGCCAGGCACTGTTTAAATGCTCTGCAGTTATTAGTTAGTTTTATCCTCACAGTGATCGACGTGGCAGGGTACTGCCTCATCGGGGACCTCATCTGTTTTACATATGAGGAAACTGAGGCACATAGAGGTTATCTTTAGCCCAAAGCCTGTGGTCACCCCAGTAGTCAATGCCAGTAGAACTTGGAAAGAGGGAAGGGCAGGGCCAGTGGGGGCCACCACCTGTGATTATTCTACAGCCAGATTGAACTTGTGTGCCTCTTCAAAATCTGCTCAGCTGGGAGCTGCTGTCTTCCTCAGGTAGCCCCGGGTGAAGGGGAGGCAACTTTCAGGGGTCCTTCGTGGCTCCCTCCTTCCCCCTGCCCTGTGTACCAGGATGCGCTCCCCATCAGGTGAAACAGTGCTTGCTGTACCTTGAAGATGGGATGCACAGCAGGCAGCTGGCGGTACATGGCTATGCCAAAAACCTCAGATACCAGATGTGTGCGCAGAAGGTGGGTGATGGTCTGGTGGACGTGGAAGTCACTGGAACGCACCCAGATTTTGGCCAGAAGCCAGTCATATTTTGCATCCGAAGGGAGAAAAATGGGGTTCTTGTCTCCTGGGACTTGGTTGAGCTGATACATTGGAGAAAGAAAATGCATCGCAATATTTCAGTCTACACTATAGCTGTTGGAGAGCCTGGCCTCTCAGGAAATCCCAGAAGAATCTAAATTCATTCGGTGGTGACTGTCCAATCATGAGAGGAGGGTGGAGGAGGGCAGAGGGCCCAGGTCCCCGCTCCATCACTCACTACCTGCGTGACCCTGGACAACTCACTGAGCCTTTCTGAGCTCCGGCTTCATCATCTTTAAATATGGGGACCATAATCACTCATTATTACAGGGATGGGATAAGACAGCATGAAGGCATCGGCAAGGTGCTTAAGGTGTGTTCACGTGGTCTTCCACATTCTGAAACAAGATGGAACTCCCGTCTTCTTTACCAGAGCCTACCTTCTCCTCTCTTGCCTTCCTTCCCCTGCTCCCTCCTCGTTTCCTCCCACTTCTCTGACTGCTTCTGTTACGCTCTCTGTTATGGATTGAATTGTGTCCCCCCAAAAGATATGGTCAAGTCCCGACTCCTGGTACCTGTGAACATGACCTTGTTCGGACATGAGTCTTTGAAGATGTTATCAGTAATGTGAGGCATGTGGAGTAGAAAAAAGGAGGACAGACAGAGGGACACACAGAGGGCAGATGGCTACGTGAAGATGGAGGCAGAGACAGGAGTGACACAAGCCTTGGGGAATGCCAAGGATGGCTGGCTGTCACCAGAAGCCAGGAGAGAGGCGTGGAACACACTGTCCCTCAGAGCCTCAGAAGGAATCAGCATGGTGACACCCTGATTTTGGACTCCTGTCCTCCAGAACTGTGAGACAGTAAATTTCTGTGTTAGGAGCCACCCACTTTGTGGTGTTTTGCTGCGGCAGCCGTAGGAAACTAAGGCAGAATTTGGTACCAGAAATGGGGTACTGCTGTAACAAATACCTAAAAATATGAGAGGGGCTTTGGAAGTGGGTAGTGGGTAGGGGCTGGAAGAGTTTTGAGGCGCTTGATAGTAAAAGCCTAGATTGCCTTGAAGAGACTGTTGGTAGAATTATGGGTTGACAGGCCTTCAGATTGTTTTCAAGATTGTTTGTTTCTTTGTTTTTGCTTTCACAAACAATGCTGCGTCCACCATCCTTGTACATGTACTCTTCCATATTAGTGCGTTTATTTCTACTGAGTGGGTTACCAGAGAAGAGGCTGCCGAGCCAAAGAGCATGTGGATCTTTGACTTGAACAGATAGTGCCCTACTGCTTCTCAGAAAGGCTCATTCAGCTGGAGCACACCTGGTCAGTGGTGCAAACTGTCAGAACATTTCCACACTTCCAGACAGCTGGTGAGCAGTCATGGCCTGGAGCCCCCTCGAGTGTCCCTCCAATTGCTCTGGATACACTAGCCCCGCTCCCAGGACCCTCTAACCATCGATCCAACAATCCAGAACCTCAAGAGGGTGCACCTGGCATGGAGGTGCTCAGGGACCTGCTCAGGTGCTGCACCCAGGTGCCAGATGCCATGCCCATCCAGTTACGAAATACCTCAAACATCACTCCTGGCTGTAACAGTTCCCGGGCGATGACCCCCCCAGCCCCTTCCTAGATAGTGGTTGGGTGTTACCCCTATTTTTTGCCCACCTGAGGGGCAAGAGGTGATATCTCATTGTTACTTTAATTTGCATTGCCCTGACTACTGTTGAGGCTGGGAGATTTTCCATGTTGATCATCTATCCATTTATATTTCCTCTTCTGTGAATAGCCTGTTTTTCTCCTGGGATATTTGTCTTTTGCTTATCATTAGGAAGAAGTTAGAAGTTATTTGTATATGTTAGTCATCCTTTACCACGTGTGTTGCATTTATTTTTCCCAGTCTATCATTTGCCTTTGGACTTTATATTTTATCATTCAATTATTAAAATACTTATATAATCAAATATGTCTATCTTTTCCTTTATAACTTACTGGTTTTTGCTTTAAAAACTCTCCATAACCCCTACATTATACCTTGTTTTCCTAAATTCTCTTTTAATTTTTTTTACATTTAAATCTTTATCTGGAGTTTTGTTTTTGTAAATGGCATGACATAGGGGTCCAATTTAATTTTTTCCTTATGCATAGAAGTTGTGATGAAAACCAGTTGCCATCAAGTTGATTCTGACTCATGGCCACCACATCTGTGTCAAAGTAGAACTGTGCTCCATAGAGTTTTCAGTGGCTGATTTTTTGGAAGTAGATTGCCAGGCATTTCTCCCAAGGCACCTCTGGGTGGACTTGAACAGCCAACCTTTTGGTTAGGAGCTGAGTACATTAACTGTTTACCCCACTCAAGGACTTCCTATGGAGAAGTTGTGATAACACCATTGAAATACCATTCTTTCCCACTGAGTCGAACAATCGCTTTTGTCATATATTAAATTCCTATATGTAGGGGTCTATTTCTGGGACCCTTTATACATTGTCCACTAATCTGTGTGTCTGTCCTTGTGCAGAACCATCTGCTTTGAATAGTGTCCTAACAGTATCCTTAACATCCAGCAGAGGAAGCTCTCCCTCTGTGTTTTTCTTTTTCAAAACTTTTTATACAATCTTTGAACATTTTTTTCCATTATTAACCTTTAAATTCTTTTATTTGGTCTTCTCACTCCCTCATTAAGAAAAGAGAGAAAACCTGATTGAAAATTTAATCGGAAGTATGCTAAGTTAGTACAATAAAATTTGGTAGAAATGAAATTTTTATGATACAAAATTTTCTTATTCAATATCAAATAATGTCTGTATTTGTTGAGATTTCATTTTACGTCCTTTAAAATGATTTTACAGGTTTTTTTTTTTGTGTGTGGGGGGTATTGTATTTTATTGTTAGCATGGAGAAAAGCTATTGCTGTTTCAAGAGGTATATGTACTAGACACCTTGCTAAATGAACTTGTTAATTCTAATAGCTTTTAAAAAATT